CATTTTGTAGTCTGTAACTGCTACAAGTAGTCTGATAAATAGAAAAATATCAGAGGAAAATGAAATATGAAATTATACCAATAAATCATAAAGAAATAATGAATTCTTCTGTAAAAAAACAAACATTTTTTACACTCGACCTTTTACACTAACACACTAGCGGATCCATCATCTAATTTTTTTTGGGGGGGGGGCTTCAGCCCGAAAGCTTTTTTTTCATAAAAATGACGATAATTACTTTGGAAAAAAAGATAGAAAGTAACTATCTATTTGAAATGGTGTTTAAGTGATTCCTTAAGTTGTTTTAAATGTAATTACACGAACAATAATACTTTAAGAGATCATTTTTTAATATTTTTTTTCCATAAAACATGGTTATATTTTACCATTTTGGGGGAGGGAGGGGCTTCAGCCCGAAAGCCTCCCCCCCCTCCCCGTAGATCCGCCTGTGCACTAACAGTAGTGTAGTTGAAGCAAAGGTCGGTTTACATGATATGAAATGAAAAAAATAATAAATATTTAATTGGGTCAAGTACTGAAAAAATATAAATAAATTCGATATTCTAATATTAATTTCTAGTTTCTTCGCCATTTGATTCACCATACTCATCATTCATACAGACATATGCTGTTTGTATGTTTGTACAATACCACCTGTTAATGTAATTAGTCACTCAATCATGTAATGCCTTCCATGTTTGTATCAGAGATAAGGCTGGCCGTGAACTATTTGTCGCCTTGACATAGATCTTTTAAGGGACTCTTCTAAAAATATGCAAGGGTTTTTATCTCGGTTGAGTCACCTCGCAACTGGAATAGAGCCGTGAGTCCTATGTTTACCGCTCGTTCTGGATTGCTTGCTCATCCCTAAAGTTAGAAATGAATAAACCTGAAATGAAACCTATGGGATATTCAGTTTAATAATGAAATTTAATAATTTCAAAAAAATACCAAAAAAGAAAATCTTAATTAATTCCTATGATAGAGCAATGCTTTTCCAAAACAAGTTCTCTCCTTTTGATTAATATAAAAATAATTCAGTGTTTTCAATATTTTTTCTTTGTCCAAATTATGTTGGTACTTGTGAGTTAGCTGGTCGTCACCGACTGTTATCCACGATTGTTTATAACCTGAACACTAATAATTCTGATACTGATAATACCTACCTTCTTATTTATATTTATGGAAATTGAAATAGAAAAAAATTAATGTAATAATAACAAAATACTTTTATTTTACAACATTTTATTTATCTTGGGAGACAAAATAGGTTAATGTTATTTAAAATAGGGAGGAATGGGACCTCTTTTCTGTGGACCCACCGCCACAAATATTCTCAATGTTTTTTATTCTTCCACTTAGCTTAGTCCCATAATAGTTCTATATGTTGGGTATAGACTCCACTTAAAGGGTAGGCAAAGATATACCGTTGTTTCACTTGGAAATTGTTGTAGTTTGCTTCATTTATTTGTTGGGTGATGTATCCTTTTTAAATATTATTTTATAATATATTATTATTAGTTTCTTTTATTTCGGTGGCAAATCTTATTTTTGTCTTAAAGTTGTGGATATGGAAGAGCCTTTTATAACAAGTTTTATTGTTGTTTATTATTAAGATGTTCGAGTTCTGTTAACAAGTTTGTGAAAAATGACTATGCCCATTCCTGAACCACAGAGTATGATAGTCTTTGATTCCTTTTGTTTTCATTTGCTATCCTATACTTTCCAAACTAGTATACTTTAATTTTTTCTAGTATGCCTTCTATAATGGCTTAATTAATTATTGGGTTGGAAAATAACTCCTTTCGGTTTTTCAGGGTGAAATAAAATTCAATGTATTATAGACATAAAATTAATTTTAATCTACAGTATATTGACCTAACAGTTTCTGAATCAAGTTTTATTTATTTTACACAATGATTTTAAATTATTAGAAATTATTTCTCAGATTGGGTTGAGACAATAAACACACATTACTCAATTATATAATATGAAAGCATACATTAAATGTAAACACATCATTTATGGATATCCATTAAGTTTTGTCGGTTCAACTCTTTCGTTTTCTAATAATCAGTATTTAATTTGCAATCTCCCTGTTCTGCAGTGAGTCTTCTTTTTGTTGTTGAAGGTATAGTTGTATTCAACTTCTTCAAATGTCTTATCTTAATAATCTACTTTCCTTTCTTCGTCTAGACACTCACTACTTGTTGATCACCTGGTACTCTCTGTGCGTTCTCGATGATCTTTTTTGCCTGTCTTCCTCCTCCTCTTTGTATATTCCTTGAGAGTCGTTCGTGATGTCACTGCTTTCCCATCACTATTTAAAATTCTATTGACCCATTAAATCCACTATGTAATATTTACATTATAATATATGTATATAAATATTGAAATAAGCCTTATTAATTAATTGAATATATATTATTTGAAAAATATTATGTAAAACAATTAACAAGTAATGTGTAATTTGAGTCAGTCTTTACGATTAAAACCTTTATTAATGTCATGTTTATTCGATGCTATGTTATTATTTTTAATAATAATATTTTTAATAATGCTAGAGTTATTATTTTTTTAAAATATATCTAATTAAAGGATAAACAGTGTTAACAAGAAAAATAATTATTAAAAAAAAAAAGATTACTAATGTGATAATTTAGATATATTTTTATTCCACCATTAAATGGATAATATATATGTCTAAGAAGAAATTCTATTCCCAGGAACCTTCCAGTATATTACACTCCCATACTGACCTAGTGCTTTTATTGTTACTGATTATCTACCATTAAGGTCACCTACAACCTTTCACCTTCCTTGAAATACAGCATAATGTGACAGTTTTCCAAATATATTATTAGTTTTTCCTACATGGATATAAAATTTACAAATCCATATAAATATAAGTTACCTGTTGTAGTATTTGATTAATTAATAATTATTAGAATGTTTAATTATTTTAAACTTTGAGGTTATTAAGTGATGTTAAAATTAAAAAAAAAAAAAAATCATAAAATGTTATTTTAATATTGTGAATTCTTAATTTTTTTATTTGACTATATCATTATAATTTGAACGTAATCTAGTTTTCATATGGCAATGTTTCCTAGGTGTATTCTTTTTGAAACCTTTACTACCAAAAAATCTACTTACCTTCTTGATTTGATTATTTCTTGTTCCTCTGTCCATTCTCTTAGCACGAGATCCCAGCCCAAAACCTGTGTATTCCTTCTCATAGTACTGCTTCCTTTAAAAGATCCTGTATAATGTGTGTTACATTGTTTTGGAATTCGATATGCAAAACCACTTTGTTAAATTCTTTTAAGCACCAATTACTCATTCATCTCCTCAGCAACCAATCTTCCAAATATATGTAAGAATTGAATGTTTTTATTTAAGTGTTTTCAGTCTCATTTTACTGTTATTTCACAGTTATCTATCTATGTATTAAGTATGTTGCTTATCAATACAATTATGTAAACATACTGATATTTATTTATCCATAATTTTATAAGTTTACTTAAGCTTATCCTTTATATTAATTCTAAGATTACATCACTCAATAATTTAATTATTTTATGCCAGACAAATGACACTTCTGTTATTCATTATTATTATTCGTAGGGGGCTAAATTTCCCTGAATAAAATTTACTTTTCTTCTTCTTAATATTATTTTTTGTTAATATATAATTAGCCTAAAGAAATAAAATCTATGTTCATATTTATTATATATTTTATTACAGACTAGCTTTATAAATTTTTCTTAATAACAGCGTATGTATATTAAATGATAAAGGTGTATCCATAATAATTTTAATAAAATAATAAACATTCATGATTTATTATTTATTAATTATTTATTATTATTTATTTATTTTCGATATATAAAGTCTTTTTTGGACTTATTTCAAATAAAAATCACTAAAATACACTGTAATAAGTGTGGTTTAAGGTGCTAACCACCAAGTCCATATTTTGAAATGTTTTTATTGTTGTAATAACGACAAATTAGCCAAATATTAATTTTTTAAAGTGCGTTTAGAAATTTTACAAATATATTTCAAACACAATTATCTATCTTAACTAATAGCGACATTAGTGCTAATCCCAACTGTTTTTAAAAATTTCTTTTGTTACCAACAGCAGATGAAAAACATCAAAAACTAAAACAGTATCATAGAGAAATAAGCTTTTAAATATTTGATAGTAGATAATTGTCGATTGTAGAAGATATCTTGAAGAGAAGTTGTTTGAGGTTTTCAGTCAATGAAAATACACAGCAAAAATAAATAAATTATAATTATTTTTCTTTTCTTTTGGACCGACGTTTCATCGTAAGTTTCAGACCTTCATTAGGGCGTTCGCTCGAAAGATTTCAGACGAGTCACTCTTATATATAATAATATAACTTTTTATTTTCATTGACTGAAAATTCCAACCAAATTCTTTTCAATTAAAATATTTGTGTTTCTCATATTTTGTGAAACGTCTAAAAGCACCTTTAGAGTAAATAGTTTCGAAATGCACATTATTATTGTCTTTAGCAAACAATAAATTATTTTTTTTCTAATAGTTAAATTATTAATTGTTTTAATATGTATTAAAAAAAAATTGATTTACTTGCCTAGCTAGCTATGTGGTAGTTTTAAAATTCATATTTATGCAGATATGTTTTCACATTAGGTTTCTCGAATGCAATATTTTACCTTGGAGATACTTGTTTGTGACTCATCTGGGAAATTAAGGTTTAGGAGCAGAAAGATTGCCATAGATGGAAACTAATACATGGCTTGGTATTGACCTGATTTTGGTTCCTGGTGAATCAATCATGTTTGGAAAAATATTTCTCTAATTTTTATTTTCAGTTAATATATATTTTTCTTCATTTTAAAACATCATAAATATTAGAATAGTTGTCCATAAAATAAAACATTTAAAAAGAATTATTTAAAAGTATTCATTAATAGATTGCCTATAATAAAATTCAGTATTAAATATAATACATTAGTATTATCAGTAATATTTTAAGTATTATTTTTTAAAAGTAAAAATATTTTTTATTTGCCCAGATATACTTAACTTTTATTTTCGATTTTTCTTTTTTTTTTTTTTTCTTTTTTGGCTTTAATATTTGTAATAGCAAGTCCTATTTTGCCAGTAAAATATTTTAATTGTCATAGTAAGGTGAAATTGCACTGTATATTTATTAATTATATATAGATAGATGATCACTGAATGTAATTAAATATTGAATGTAACTTATATGGAACTTAAACTAGAAAGACTAACAGTTAAAAGTTGAGGTGAATTAGAATTAGAATTAAATGAGAATAAGAGGAAACTGTTATTATATAACTGCTTTTATGTCATTCAAAAACTTTATCAAGTCACGGGCGTTATCTTTATTCATTGACCGAAGAAAGTTAGTTCCATCATCCGTAGTTTGCGATCCTAAACTAATTCTTCTTCGCTTCTCGAATCTTTTGCACTTGAAGGCAATGTGTCTTGGATCCTCCAAGCATTGGCATGTTGGGCAGTGACCACTCTTAGCTATACCCATTAGATGTAGGTATTTATTAGTATTTATTTAGTAATTATGATCAAAGCTATGAATTTTGAAGATTTTTATAAAAAATTTTAATAAATGAAAAAATTTATATTGTAAACATGAGCAAAAACTTAAACATAACAAAGACTTAAAAATATAGATATTTTTAAATATTTCAATTAGCCTAAATGGCATTACAAATTATGAATCTAAAAAATTAATAATGCCATTTATTACTATCTATATCTTCATTTTATTTAATTAAATTTATAAAGCCACTATTGGACACAATCCATTCCTACATTTTTTTAATGTAATAAACAATAAATGGAATAAACAAATAAATATTATATTTTACATTTTTTCTATTGATTAAAAGTTCTCTAAGGGAAGGCCCATTTGTATCCTATAAAATAGTTCAGTTTATATTTCCTTAAGCCAATAGTACACCAATAATGTTTTTATTTCCAATCCTTTTTTTGGGATGACGACGTTTTGGCTCAATGAGCCATTTTCAAGACTATCATGTCCTAGTTTACTGCATTTCTTATGTAAAAATACATATCTTCTTATAACAACTTAGCTGTCATTATCTTACCTTTTTATAAGTCAGCTCCCATATTATCAGTTCACTTGAGCTGATTATACAACTTTATATTATATGACGCCGAAATTAAAGAAAATCGTATTAAGCCTATAAAATATTTGTTAAACTTTTTTTTTCGAATAAATATGTGAAATAAAGTTATATACGTATGAGTTTATGGAATTACTGATAGTGGAACTAGGTTGTAGTTTATTTATTGATTCTGTTCTCATCTGGCAGTACAGTACTGTACTTCATACTGAGTAGATATGTTTATTAAAGATTAAAATAACTAACCGATTATATTGAACCTTTTTTTAATCCCAATTGTAAAAACATTTACCATTTCTGACAAAACAACTTAATTTATAATAATGTTAATGAAATACTGTACATATTCCATGCCGTATAAAACTTTTACCAAATCAAAATAAACTTTTTTCAAGTCAGATTAAATTTTTTCCAAGTAAAATTTAACTATTTCCTAAATAAATAAAAACTTTTCCAAACCAAATTCAATCTTATCCAACTTGAATTTAATTTTTAATTTATTTTTTGATTGATAAATTTGAAAATTTATTATAAATTTTCGATAAAAGAGTAAAATAAAAAAAATAATGTCTCATGTATGAATTTGACTTGGAACACAAGCAGATATACGGGGAGAGAAGATTTGAGTTGAATCCCCTCCTCTAAAATGGTTAAATATATCCATATGTTATGAAATAAATATTAAAAAATTATGGTATATAGATGGTTGACCATATGAGAAGGTGTTGAGTTTGAGGAGTATGAGAAGAGTTTAACTACACTGTCACTCACTATATCTCTGATGTCATCTTATTATTTCCTTAGCAGAAAACTGTTTCTTATTTAATATATATTAATATTTTCACCACGTATCTTTTATATTTTGTAGCCCTGATAAAGACCTACAAAGTGGGTCGAAACGTCGACGTAACGAATAAAATTCTGCTTATATCAATTTAGTATTTATTTGACTGCACCCCCCGACCAACTCCATCTCATTAAAAAATTATCTTTAAAAATTATTATTGTTCATAAAATTACATTTAATAGGATGTAAAGAATCACTTAAATGCCATTTTTTTCTTCTGAAGTAATTATTGTTATATATATAAAAAAAGCTTTCGGGCTGAAGGTTCCAAAATTAATTCCCGGATCCACTACTAATTCGGAAAAAGTTAAATATGACTTGGAAATGCTATCTCTATTTTTTTTCCATCTTATACATTAAAATTTATTACTTGTTTAATTTTATTATATGAGGCAATTAATGCTAGAGTGGATAAAAATAGTCAGTTTCAAGCATATCCAAAGCTCTAAGTTATATTTAAAATCATGAAGTCGATACATTCAGTAATCAGTTGATGATTTATTATGAGAATGAATTTTACCAATTTTGTATGTTACGGCTGAAATATTGTCATAAAGTTCAATAAAATAAAATGCTTACCACCATAGAAAAGGAATCCCCGGTTTGAAAAAAAAAATAGAACATTACTTCAAAATACTTTTACTATTATCAAGCTGAATGAATTCATTAGCAGTATTTAAATTTTCATATAAATCTGATCACAAACATCAAATAGCAAGTTAGCAAACACAAATATACAAATCATAAATGCAATACGCAATATATAAATTTTTTAATCATAAAACTAACAGTAACTTAAATAAAATATATTAAACATTTTTAATGTTTTTGTGTATTTTGGTAATAATGTTTCATGATAGTGTATTTTTGTAAACAAGTATTGATTGATGTATTTGCATGTTTTTGTGTGTTATTGTATTGGAATCATAAGTAGTTTTGGGTTTTAATAATGCCAAAATATAACTAGAATTGTATGTTATATCATTTAATGAAAACATTACCATAAAATTAAACTCCACTCTAACATGAGTTAATGATCTTACTTTAACCATTGTAAACTTAATCTAAAAAGCATATTTTTATGCTAAGTAAACATTTTTATAGTTTTCAAGCTTATAGATCTGAAATGAGGATTTAAAGTAGTCCATTGGAAATATTTGAGTAAATTTTAAAAAATGCTGAGTTTTCCTAAAAAAGATTTTATATATCATCAACAGTATTCGGAGAAAAACTACAGGTTTATCAAATATTAACACAAATAATTTTTTTTTTGTATTATAACTTGTATTTTGTATCTTTTTTTTTAAATGCCAACATTAACGAGCTGGTTAAAATGAATTTGACATTATTCCAGTTTTAACAATATATTAATGTAAACATATTTCTTATATGAAAAATGGAAATATTTGATTTATACTGTTGCTGTTAATAAATTTAAAAAATTAGATTTAGAGTTGTTCTAGAAAACTCTGTCAATTTTATTATGTACTTAGTGATTCTTTATTTTTATAAAACTTAACATATCTCATTATTTATAATTTTTTTATTTATACTACTTTTATTTTATCCCTTCATGTATGGTTTGTTTTTTTTTTTTATTATTATTTATCGGCTTCTAACTGAAATAATTTTTTAATGAATATTTTATTTGAAGTGTAGTCAGTTAATGGTAACAACAAATGATGATGTCAATAATTTTTTTGTAAACTCTTTTTTACTAGCATTTTACTTTTCTAATGTATGTATGACAATTTTAAATGCACATTTCAGAATTCAAAAAATAAATAAATAAATATTTTACGAAGTAAAGCAGAGGACTAAGTTTGGAAGCTAAGAATATGGAGTAATCATAATTGGCATTAATAAAATATAAAAATAGTCAGTTACAATTATGTTTTGATTACATATGCCTGGTGTTTCCAAAACCACCATGGCCGGACTGGGATGCACCCTTATTGTAACCCATCTGAAGACTTAAGTGGGCTTCACTTGCTCTCAGTTGTTCTTCAGAGAATTCTCGTTTGTGCTCATCAGCCATTTTGGGACCGAGTCTGGGTCCAGTATATTCCGGATGCTTCTGGGTCTAAAGATTTAAAATATATCATCATTAATAAAATATAAATAAATGTTAGTATTAGTGTACTATGAATATATATTTAATACAGAAGTTACTATTATTGTTTTTTTTTATGATTAAAAGTATTTTTTATTTTAAGATTATAACTTCTGAGTGTTTTTTTTTTTTGTTTTTTTTACTTTCTGAAACTGAGTAATTCGAATCTTGATTTAAAATTTTAATGAAAAATATGTAATTTAAATTTTGCAACATTTCGGTAGCCAAAAGCCATTTTAAGCTCTTTTTGGAAAAAAATAAAGTCAAAAACCTGTGCACCATCTAATTAAAAATTAATGTAGGAAATGAAATTGCCATGCTATTGTGATACAAGAAAATTATTAATCATTTGAACATGAGAGGAAAATTAACAGATATTTTAAAAAGGGTTTTTGTTTTTTTTGCGAAGAGCTTAGGAATAGCTTAAAGTAGGGTTCTCCAAACTATATCCAGAGCCAGCCGTAAACACCTTCAATCCAGTCCGTGAAAGCTTCTTTGATTACATGATAACATTTTAAAAAATATGAAATTTGGCAAACTAATCATACACAAACTTACTACAACATTTATTACATTTTTTTTTTCTTTTAGAAAGCTGATTTCACAGCTGGAGTGTCATTTTTTACAATAGAATGACATTTGTTTTTCTTCACAAGCCATGGCTCTCAGGACTTGGGTGGAGGTCTCAATGCGGCCTGCAGAACTTAGTCGAGGTCTTAAGTTTGGAGACCCATGACTTAAAGTATAAAGTAAACTTCATATTATAATTTGTTTGTTTCTTTTCTAGTCCTTAATAGTATTTGCATCAAGAAATTTATTTTAAAAAACATTTATTTTACCGTTGTGCAACATTTCAGCAAGTAGAAGCCATTTTTAAACTTTTTATGGAAATAAAATGTAAAGTAAAAAATTATGGATCATTCAACTGCAGATTAATGTGGGAAATGAGTCTGCCCATGATAATTATGAATCATTAGAAGATGAAAGCAAAATGAACAAATAACAGATATTTTATGAATTATTGAAGGAAGCTAGTGGTATAGTGAACACAGTCATTATACAATTTTTTTATTAGTGCCGGCGTTTCAACCCAAACATGTGGGTCATCATCAGGGCATGATTCGAGCTCTGAAGGTTTTCAAGTACTTGTTTGGGTTGAAACGTTGGCACTATTAAAAAAATGTTATAATGACTGCGTCCTGAATATTTATTTATCATCCATAACAGATATTTTAATTTATTTATTCTGTCATGTCATTAGAGAAAGAAGATATATTATTAAATAATAAATAAATCATTAAATATAAATATAAAATATAGTATTAAATAATAAATCACTTAAAATATCTGTTAATTGTTCAATTTCATCTTATCTTCAAATAAGTCATAATTTAATGTTATCCCAATAGCTCGGGCAGTTTCATTTTTTCCATTAATCTGTAATTAAATGGTATACAGATTTTTAACTTTAACCAACATGTCATCCGTCTCATTTCTATTCAGTCACTGAAACGTTGTACTTAGATGTGTAGTCATTAAGTTGAAAAAATTTTGAAAATTGGTGTTTTTTTTTTCCTAGAACGAACTTGAAAATGAATTCTAGTAACTGAAATGTTGCACAATGTTAAAATGCATGTTTTTTTAATAAATGTTTTAATGTGAATAATATTGAGGACTAGAAAAGAAACAAAAAAATTATATTTTTTATATAAATTAGGCCATTATTCATCAACATTTTATTTATTAGCTATTTTATTACGATGTTTCGACCATCACTAGGACCATTTTCAAGTCTTATTGAGTCCTCCATTTGATATTCATTATTAATGTCGTAATAATTTGTTCAGAGAAAAATTAAATTGTCCTGCTATTTAAGAGTCTCCCCTATGTCATTTCTGGAGGGACTGACAGTCCTTCAGAAATGTTCAGTTCCTCCAGAAATGACGCAGGGGAAACTCTTAAATAGCAGGACAATTTAATTTTTCTCTGAACAAATTATTACGATATTACTAATGAATATCAAATGGAGGACTCAATAAGACTTGAAACTGGCCCTAGTGATGGTCGAAGCCCTAGTAATAAAATAGCTAATAAATAAAATGTTAGTGAATAATGGCCTAATTTATATAACAAATAAAACCTCAAGACACCAATTTTAGGAATAATGAACAGAAGAAAAAAATTATAATATGAAGTTTACTTTATATTTTACTTTAATTCCTTAATATTATAATTTAATTATTTCATAATCATCATCTGTATCCAAATAAGTGTTTATGGTATTCTAAGATAATGAGGTGTCCCAGAATAAAATCTAATTTTATTCATTCTTAGATAAATCAGAAATCAGCTACATACCTTGACATATATTATAACATTATCCACTGTACCTTTATTCATAATAACCTATTTTAATATTCATGATTTGTATTAAATAGTTATAACACCATAAAATGAAAAATGAATAAAATTTTGTTTTAATTAATAGTTAGATATGTAAGCACTCGTTATGCCAAGTTTGGTTGTAAACAATGTCATAACAAGGTCAACTATCGCTAGTGATTCACGATTGCTACTCCTTATAACTATTGCAAGTTTTCTGCTTGCGACATACCTCACCCCATTCTATTAATTTATACAATTTAATTTTATGTTTAATATAAAACTTATAAAGCATTATTTCTTTTTGAATTCTAATATATTAAAATTTTGTTTAGGTGATTTTTATCACTGTTCCATTTAAGCAGGGTCTGCGGAAGCTGTCTCGTTTGCCACCTCCCCTAATCCCCCCCTCTGATTGTGGGATCTGTGTTGTTCACAATGGTTCCTATTAATCAGTAATGTTATAATAGAAGCAAGTTAAGGAGGAGAGAATAATCCTCACAGCCATGTAGACCCATAAATGATTAACTATCGAAGTAATGAATACATAATATAACATATTACTTTTATAATTTATATATGTATATGTTACATAAATTGAACCAGTTAATGTAGAAGACATTTTAGTATAGCAGACCGAATAATTACAATAGTGTTTTAAGGTAGTTATAGTTTTGACTAACTCCAATATGCTTTATCTACCGAAGACAAATATTTAAAGGATTCTCCTGCTCAATTCATAAGCAATTTTTTCTGCCAGATTCGTGATATTTCACAGAAATAATACTAATCACTAAGTAGGTCATAACCAGATATTGATATAATTTATAAAGATTGACAAAATAATAATAATACAAATAAAGCATTTACACTTTTCATTGTTATTAATCACAGTCAATGGGTAAACTATTTTGCCGAATTAGTCTAATCTTATTTCACCCTCTTTGACCCTTAATCTTGAAAACTTTCTCACTAATTGTTCTAAATTTAACTTTCAGGCTACTCCGTTTTTAATACTTACTTAAATATTCTCATTGCTTAGTCCAGGTGAACTCATGTTACTTTTTTATAATTTTAATCACTAAAATGATCTTTCATTATTTGAAGCACATATTGTAATTAAAGGTGTGAATGAGAGCAAAGGGAAATGGTAAATGAGAAGACAAAAAAAAAAAAGAGTTGGTGAATGGTAGGATCCATTAATTACGATTATGAATTGAAAGATCAGTGATAACCTATTAACATTATTAACTCTATGTTTCTTATTTTCTCTCAATGACTATTGCTATTTAGAATAATATCAAGTGTATAATGATTTTTTTTTTTTTTTGGATTGGCGATTTTTTCGGTAGTTTAAATAATTTAATTTTTATTATATTTCAATTAAAGTCTAGCGACACCCTCCACAATGTCAGATGCTCTAAGACGTTGCCTTGTATGCAGTAGTTAGCAACTACATGAGATAAAAGTAATGATTTGTTGATTGGTATATAAGGACTCATGATGATAAACGACTTTATCAACAATAAATCATTGTAATCTATTTGTGAGATACATTAGTTGCCAACTGTCTGAATTTACTTATTTCGGGTCAATAGTTGTACCGATGATCTATCTCCTTAGGCTTGGTTCATTAGGAAGCGAATGCCATTCAGCTAGAATTAATTGATAAAGAAATACCAAACAAAGATAATAGGATGCTTTCATGTGATGTACAAAAGAGCTCCTTTTAGGAATCAGATCCGAATGATTAAATCAACTTAAATAATATTTTTCCATTTTTTTATCTGACTCAGTTCTATCAGTTTATGTATATCAATTAGTGATAAATCAGTACCTGAGTAGATCACTCACCTAATCCTGTTAGCAAACAAAGTAATGTAAACAACCAAAGAACCGATAAATAAAATTTAGCAAAGGTTCTTCAAGGAACCATCATTTCTAATAATTTGACATTTTATATAGTATCGAGAGACAATTAAAATGTAAAAGTTTAATTAATCTTTTGAAAGAGTTCTTTTTTTCATTTTTAAAATAATAATCAATTAGTAAATATGTACTTACTATTCTCCCAAGAGCATACAGACAAAGTGTAACTTGAGGTATGTTTCGTTTTTCAAAAAGATCCGCTGTTTGGAAAATCTCTTCTTCCGGTACACCGTATTTTTTTATCGCTGCCTGGAATCTTAAAATAATAAAATTTGAGCATTAAATGTTAATAATTTGTTCGATATACACTATGACCAAAAAAAAGGATAAATAAAAAGATAATAAAATAATTTTTGATAAAAATAATTTCCTATTGGAATTTTTACCCCTTGGGCGCCCAGCTTTACTAGCCTTTAACCTCTAAACAGATAAATATAGAGAATATAAGGTACTTAACCATTATTGGCCATAATAAAACATTTATGCTACATCAGGTGAGGGGTCAAGTTGGATTTTTTTACAAAGCAGCAAAAAAAGATATTTCAAGTTAAGAGATCTATTTACAGAATATTATGTGCAAGTAAAAGCATTAAAACAAAAAGAAAGAGAAAATTTAAATCTAATTACTTAATATACTGAATGAATGACCTTATGGAAAGGAGTAACAACTTTTTTACATCATTATGTATTTTTTTTTTAGGATATATTACTGACATAAATATTGGAAATTAATTCTTTGTATCAAAGTTATTGATTAATTTATTCATTATTAGTTCATAAAATACCTTTGAATATTTTCCATAAGCTGAAAATTGGTTCCTTTTGTTTGAATCTTCTTCACTGATCCCGGAGCGATTTTATTTATGAGGTTACATAATACCACACCATCCTTTAAGATGTCCTCGTATTGCTGGTCAGGTAATTTCTCACCCAGGACATCGGCAATCCATTGGATGACTTCCTGCTCTTGTTCCTTATTTCTTCCCTGAAACATAAATTATAATATATTATCTTTTTGATTTATTAAAAAAAAAAGAATTATTTTTAACATGTATTCTTTAAAATTATATCAATTGTTAATATGATGTTTGAGCTATTTTTCGTTTTAAGATATGCAATAGAATTTGATATATTACTTTCATGATGTACTTTTCAATCATAAAATCATTTTTTTTTTTTTAATGAATGGATTCATTTTTGGATTTACAGAATTGACAACCGTTAAAGTAATTCCATGCATTTCTTTGATTGTTTCAAAAGAAAGAAATCATTCAAGTTGAAAGACAGCTGAACAATATCTGCCAAAAAAAACTTCATGTATTTGGCACGTGGTCAGAAAGAAACTCTATTTCTTTGTTCGTTTTTCTAACTGAAATAGTCAAAAAGATTTCTAAATGTATCAATTAGCTAATGCACTTTGGACTATGCATTTTGTAATCGTAAGAATATGAAGAATATCTTGGCCGCAAAAACTGTTTTAATTTAACTTCTGCACAGCGCCAAATGTTGATCATTTATCAGCCAAACCTAAATAAAAGCCTGATGTTCAATTATTTTTCGATATTTTTGTATACTCGATGCAAGTAAACACTTCTTGAAACAGTACAGGAAAACGTAATTTGCATTGTGCTTATTGAATCAACGAATTTGCTAGCCATGTATATTTAGAACTCGATTGACGTCATTCCATTAAAAAAGAGTTTAGATTTTAAAGCCATTTGTTTAGAAGTGTGTTGCTAATTTTAACCCTGCCTAAAATTTCCTCTATTCCAATCTAAATTAGTTAAGAGTTTGGATCTGGGCATTCAACGATTGCTTAGAGAAGATTGAACATCAAACAGAAAAAGTTTTGCCTAAAAGTAGCCGATTTTAAAGGGTTAATTTTAATTTATGATCAAATAGTTATTTAATTTTTTTTTTTCTATTTAACGAGGACATTTTTGTTATAATAAATTTATGATTGAAAGTATAAATAAAGTAGTTTAATTATTGGAGTTATAAAATTTATTTAAAACAAATACAAATGCCTCTGTGGTTTATTTTAGTCATATGTTTAAAACCGAAACAAATTTAATGTCATGGATGTTAGTCTTGATTGAGGAAGTGGAAACATGGAATAATGAAACGTAACCAAACTATAGCTACCATCACTAAGTATAGTGACCCACTTAAAAAAAAGTATATTATTTTCTGTTGTATTTTTAAAAATAAATTAATATTAAATCTGTCATGTAATAATTATTTATAACTGACTGCGTAATGTTTGAAGGAGAAAAATGATATATGACTCAATAATGGAAATTATTTTCATTTTTACATGTTTCAACTGAGTTGAAAAAAGTGATACGTTTTCCTTTTGAATATATTTTTAGTTTAATTTAATATAACAAAGAAAGTAAATTGTAGCCTCTAAAAAGTGCATTATTTTAAAAATATATTTGATAGATTTGTCAGATTTTGTTGAGAACGATATTTGGCTTAATAGTACTTTTTTTTTTTTTAATAACATTTTATTTTTTAAAAAATATTAATTCCAGTAAGACCTAAAAAAAATACCAACAACTGACATTTTGCATGTTATTTCCTAATGGCATTATTGATAACTGGCTCTGAGATCATAAAATATTTAAGAAAGTTTGGTTTTAAATAGTTCCATTTCTGTCTCATTCTTGTCATATCTTCTAAAATATGTATTCATTCTTTCCTTGGTCTTTCTCTGTTTCTTCTGAAAAATGTTTGTTTATTTTTCTTAACCCAATTTTATCTCCCATTCTATGTAGTTATAGTTGTCCCCATCGCAATAATATATTTTTTTTTTTTGTATATATGTTTTGAGAAACTTATTTCTTTTTTTTTTTGTGATTTGACATTTATTGAATCGATTCTTGAAATATAGCAACAACTTCTGCAGGTGTTTTTTTGAAACTCTATTAACTTGTTATTATTTTTACTTTTATCATTTAATGAGTAAGAGGAAAAAAAATAAATAACTTTTTATTTTTCATTCTGTTATTGGTATAAATAGATTCACTATCTGGAAAAAATTTTCTTTGAAAGAATGCTGTTTTACGTTCCAAATATATTTACACTAAGAAAGAGTACTTATCAAATATTTTATTTAAATGACAGAAATAAGATACCGAGCCAAGTGAATAAAAAAACGAGCATACTATCCGAATTTAAGATTTTTCAAGACATCAAATATATCATGGGCAACTGAAGTTAGGTTGTATAAAACTTTAATTAAAGCGATTCTAATTTATGAATCTGATACATGGACCCTAAATGCTATAACTTTAAAATATTCCAGCTCAAGATTTTAAGTAGGATATATGGGTCAGTACATGGATTATAATGGATCAAGGAATTGAAGAATTCCCAAAAATAAAGAGTTATACGCAGTATCTAAAGATACCCGTGTCTCCAAATTTATAAAAACGCACCCTATGTAATGGTAACGTCACATCAAAAGGATGCCAGAAGGCTCAGAAAATTGCTGTATGGGGAGGTGGGTCAACCGTGAATTAGATGACTGCAGGATGTTGAGGATGGCTTGAGGACATTGGGCATGACCAGGTGGAAAAAACAAGTAAGAACAAGAAAATTATTTGGGAAGCCAAGGCCCACACTGGGCTGTGTAAAAAAAAAAAATAATAATAATAATATTTTCTGTATAATTTATTTTATTTACTGTACATAGAGTGTGAATGTGATCTGTGAACACTATTATAAATGTCGTTGAGACAGATTGTAACATTTTTCAATAAATAAGATTAAAAACAAAAAAATAATAATAATACTTTATTTATTCTGGGACGAGTCTCTTTAAATTAATACAGAAAAACAGAAATGTGTGCTAAGGACCCTCAGAGATACATAAACAAAAATAAAGAGTAATTAAGTAGTCATAGATACACAATAAAAAAATTATAAGTTACTTTCTAATTTGAATCAGCTAATAATAAAATATAAAAAAATGGAAAAAAAAAACACGAAGTAAAAATAATGAAGAACGAACTAATAATTTATATACATATGTACAGCAGTATCTATTTACAATTTTATGGGGACTGAATGGATAAGAAATGATTGGGACAGGCGGGATTTAAAGGTAGGATGGATATTGGAAGGAATAGTGATTCGTGGGGATAAATATTTAAATATTAATGGGGTAAATATGTGTATTATTATGCGATAGCACTAGTGGATCCAGGATTTAATTTTGGGGGGAGGCTTCAGCCTGAAAGCTTTTTTTTTTCATAAAAATGATGATAATTACTTTGGAAAAAAAAAACAACTAAATATCTATATAAAATGGTGTTAAGCGATTTCTTAACTCCTTTTAAATGTAATTACATGAACAATAATACTTTAAGAGATAATTTTAAATATATTTTTCAATAAAACATGGTTATATTTTACCATTTTGAGGGGGGAACCCCCTCCCCCGTAAATCCGCCCGTGTCTGATAGGACTTGAAAGTATGTAGTTAAGCTGCCTTCTTTAGTTGTATAAGTTAAGTTGTTTCTTTAACTGTTTGCTAGTCAGTCGATTCAACATATGGATTTAAAAACTGCAAATATAGATAATCAAAGTTAGAATCGGTAATAATTTGTCCGGAAAATTTGAGGTTCGTTCGGGCTTAAAACAGGGGGATTCTCTTTCGCCTGTCCTGTTCAATTTGGCATTAGAACATGCCATTAGGGAGGTAATGCGAACCGAGAAAGGGTTGGATCTGGGCGGGACAACATCCGTGCTGGGCTATGCTGATGATCTGGTACTGTTAAGCGAAGACGTTGAAACTATAAAACTAAATACGACAACGTTAATGAAAGCCGGTAAAGAACTAGGACTCGAAATACTACTGGTGATATCGATATAGATGGTAATATGTTTGAACAGGTAGATAAATTTAGGTATCTAGGTTCTACGATAACTAGAAAAAACGAAATTGAAGAAGAGATTAAGGTTAGACTGAAGGCGGGGAATGCTTGTTATTTTTCTGTGACAAAACTACTTAGTTCGCGCCTCTTGTCCCGAAACTTAAAAATTATAATCTATAAAACAATTATCTTGCCTACAGTTCTTTATGGATGCGAAACTTGGCCGCTTACATTAAGGGATGAGCAGCGTCTTAAGGTTTTTGAAAATAAAGTATTGCGTAGAATAATCGGACCGAAGAAGGATGAGTTAACCGGAGAGTTCAGACGGTTACACAACGCCGAATTGCGTGAGCTGTATCCGGGTAATATAATTGAGGTAATTTCATCGCTGCGAATCAAATGGGCTTGTAAAGTTATTGGGCTTAGTAACGAGAGAATTCCTAAAAGGTTAATATTTGCTGTGCCGAATGGTAAGCGTCCGAGGGGTAGACCGAAGCGGAGGTGGGAAGATTGCATTAAAGCCGATCTGAAGGGACTGGGTTTGGACGGCGAACGGTGGAGGGAGGTGTGTAACAAGCGATTGGTGGTGTCGGCATCGAACCTTCGGGTTCGCTAAGCCTTATTATTATTATTATTTAAATATAGATAATCTATTTTGTTTTATGTCAAAAGCTGTTCTTGTATAAAGTGCACCAGTAGCCTCTCATTCTGGTCTTATCTTTTTCATTATCAGTCTATGGGAGCTACAACCACAACTGAAGAGGCCCGAACAGGTGCCCAGGAGGAGGCGATAGATGGTAGTAGTTATACTAAAATAGACATTACGTTGGAGGAGACATTAATGAGAGTGCCGGTGAATCGTAGCCCTACTCGAAGGCGGTTGGTTATATTTCAGAGTTGGCGCCCTAACAGTCGGTATTCCCCGGGCTTTTGGCAGGGCCGCACCCACACCGACCGAAATATCCCTCTCTCCAGGAATAGCCACCCTAATTTACCTCATGGGAGATATCCTGACCCCTTGGATAACCTCTATCTGTTCCATCTTCTTCTGCTAACAAAGGCACTGATTTATCGCTCCTTCCAGCTGTTTATAAAAAGACCGGTAGAATGGTTTCAAGTGTCAGGTTATCAAAACTAGAAATGGATGCGGTGGATAGAGAAATATCGTTTGTTATGTCATGTCTTATAACATAGTTCCGTTGTTTAGAAGTCATTCTGTTCTTATTAAAAAAGAATAATAAGTGATCAATATTAATAATCAAAGAATTAGGGAACTCGAAGGTTCACTACCAATATTACCAATGGCTTCCTACATACCAACTTCCACCTACCGCAGCCAAAACTTAATTCCGCAAGGTCAACGTTAATACTGCAAAAGCGGTTTAGCGATTCGTTGTTAAATGCAACTTCCATGGACATTGAGGGCTTATTTTTTTTCTTCTAAATTATATAATTGTCTTGAAAAATTATATATATAATTTTTTTTAAAGTCATTTTTTTTGTGGTTCCCTGAAGAAATTGAATACAATTTTATCATTAATTGAATTGATGGGTTTTTACTCATGTTTCGCTTTTAAACAGTTTGTATTTTTTCCCCGAATTTAACTGTAAAAGCCAAAAAAGGTCCACCG